TTTAGTTGGCAGAAAAGACGAAAGAAAATGAACGGGCTCTGGAAGATGAACGAAGTCGTCATGAAGCCGAACTGGATGCGATGAGTAGGCGTCATCAAAAGGTGAGCGCCTGACAAATAAATCATAATTAATTTCCTTGATGGACTTGCAGACGTCTTTTTTCCTGTTTCCTAAAAGCCTCGGATTAAATTACGCCTGAAGAAAGAAACTTCTGCGCAGTTCGGCTTGGTGGGGGCATAAGACGCCCCTCAGGTGGTTTTAGACAGGCCACATTGTGAAGAACCTGTAAATTTCTGTGACTAAAGTGGCTTACAACGATTTCGCGGGTTCAGAGGAGCTTACGGGTATCGTCAAAGTGAGACTTGTTAGTTAACATGAACTGACAAAGAGAACTAACGTAAATGCAGACTGCCCCCTCCAAGCCGAACGCCCCTGAAACCTCGAAATTCAAAATTGTCGCGTGGTTATTTCCTTCGAGAAAATCCCGCTTTTTAGGCTTCGATTAAATTAAATTTTTATCAAATATATTTAATTAAAATTTTTTTGCAAGTCTTCGATTTTTTAGTATAGTCTTAATTAAGCTCAAATTGATCTGGATCTCAATTTGTTAGAAAAATTCATTTTGGAGCGAGTTAATTTAATGAAAAAGCTATCTGAACGATTTTCTCACCGGCTTTTGAGCTAGACGGCACTTATTGTGTGATTTCATCATATGTCAGTCATGGTAAAAGTCCTGATTCGCTTCGCGACGTATGAATCCAAAATTACAGCATCCAAATAAGCCTTCCTATAGGGATTTTATTCTCTCCCTGTTGCATTATTCGACACACAGTTCGGCTTAGGAGGGGGGTTCGCTTTCTGCAGTCTAGCGACACGCTTTGCTAGTTAGTATTCACATCACAGATCTTGTGCTTTAAAGTTTGTAGCAGATTGTGCAATTTTGCAAGGAATTTTCACCCTTCAATGGTGGCCTGTACAGTTCACTGAGCACCATTTGTATGCCTGCCACCACAGACGAATGCGCTCCCCATTATTGAACGCGAAATATTTAGTTTCCAATTAAGCGCTGTCAGAACGAGCTGATGATCGTGTCGATAGTTGGTTACCACCAAGTTTCGTAAATGTGGCGGTGCTTCTTTATTGAAATTAAAAATTGTCTGACACATGAGAATGATGGCTGGGCACCATCCAAAACTTTTTAGAGTGGGGACAGTAAGGCACAGCACTAAGTTGTATAAGGCCGAAAAAAATAGGGTAATTTCATGAGAAAGGAGCGTTCCTCATTAAGGATTTTGATACATTAACTAGTTTTTTTTTTTCTTTTGAAGTCCATTTTTTCTGAAAATATATTAAGACAACGACCACGTAGATCTGAATTTTTGCCTAAGTGGTCCCTTCGTTGCTGATTTCCTAAGTTGGAACTAAATAAGTAATTTCGAAAAACTTCCAGGACTTTCGTGTCCCTTATTTTTTTGAAATAAACATTGGAGCATCACAGTGTTGCTAAACCTCCAGGTATCATGAGGTTCCAGGACAGCATAGCACTTTTTTTACGTTTTTTTTTGCTTTCGGTTATATTCCTGAACTTTCAAAGGTCTTGTATTTATGACAAATTAAAAAAGACTGTGACTGAATTTAGGTGGTGATCTCAATGGACGAGAAGATTGCCGAAGGTGAGAAACTGATTGAACAGTTGACCGCCGACAAGAAAGCCTTGCAGACTGCCTTAGCCAACGACAGTGATCAGCGTAATCAGGTGAACTTTTAGAAATCTTCTTTATTCATTTATTAACAAAATACAAGGGTGCTCTAGAGTCCTCAAAAGAGAAACTCAAAAATAATTAGCGTATTCAAAAATGAAGAGCAAAGGGCACGATAGAGAAACAAAGCGAGCGAGGAGGCTGCGAGTAGGACTACTAAAGGGAGAAGGAGCCGGGACTCTCACTGGAGCAGGAACGGAAGGTCATCCTCCCGACTGGATAGATGAAAGAAATCCACCTGCGAGATCTTTGTCCCAGGTTCAAAATGCAAGGAGACGGGACAGTAGTGGCTAAAAAGTTAACCCGTCAAGGAATCCGTTCAGGACTCCAGGCGAACAAACCGAAGAGGGATTTCGAGCAAGCACGTTCATCATACTTCAGGTTTCTCGAACAACTGGCTCGCACTGCTCAAGTCCGCGGTTTTCGGCCGAACTCACTCTCAACTGCGCAGCTTATTGCAGCATAACAAGTAAACAGCAAATGCACCTCAAAAACCTCAAAAATAGGAAAACGAGACATGTCGTCACCTGAATCTCTAAAGGGTGCAGGGGGATTAGCCAAGAAGTAATGTTCTCCATTATGTCCTCAGTTGGTGATCGTATTCTCGTTCGTCAACTGAAGATAGAGACGAAAGGTATACACTCTAGTTCGCTGCGGACGGTTGGGCGTGTCAGCCAGTATGAGTGTGTCACCCCGTCAAAGCCGTTCTCTGCCTTCGGCAGCGTTCAGACTTCTGCGTCGGCAGCGCTTCGGTCGCGCTTTTGAAGCGATCGATGCGCATGCTTTCGACTGCCATCTCGCCGGCCGAGGCGCTATCCGTCAACGAAGTATAAGCGGCAACCTTTGTTTGAATCTGCGCATACGACAAAAAATGTGAAAATGAGTAATACGAAAGGGTGATGATACAGTATTGTCCTTGCCCACTTCAACAACTAGGTGAGAACGAGTTTGGCATCCGCGCCAAACGCAGCCGCACTGACACGCCCAACCGTCCGCAGCGAACTACACTGTACGAAAAATTGGGCTACTTTCCATTTTTAATTCTACTACCTGAGTGAGACGAAGCAGATCAGCGCTTGCCCATCCGAGCGGTCCTGTTCAATCCACGATGGGCTCCCGTTCGGGCCACCAATTTCACCCTAACGAGAAACAGTGAGATTGTCCCATCAGTGTTCGTCTGGGAAACTAGAAGCTCCGAAATATACATCGGCTAGCCCTCTCCGAGTCATTGTAGGCCACAGATTGCAGATTTTATAAAGTACCAGTTCTGAGTTGAAATAGTATGCTTGCTGAGTTTAAAGAACGGGTTTTCCGAACGCGAAGACTCTACCATTTTGTTTCCTTCATCCTTCACCTGGCTGCGTGACCGATATTACTTAATTCCAAAACTTTCTGCTTCCAGGGTTTGGAAAAGCACTCTAGGTGCTGTTTCAGAAATGAAATAATTGGCATTATATCGCTTCAACTGCCTGCCCCAACCATCGGCAGGAATTGAAGCCAGTTCTTTTGACCGCCTTTCTTTCTTTCTTCCGTAATGTTGTCTCCCGGATAGTTTGACCCGAATGAAATAATCGAACTCGCTTAAGCCCGGAACTTCTTGGCGCCTGCGCCACAGGCGCCGGTGATTCAAGGCATTTCGGCGCCAGCGCCCGTAGCGCGGGCATCAGGAGGTTTCGGACCGAGCAGTGCGATATTCCGTGTTCAGGAGGCCGGACTACCCTGGGAACTAAATTTATTAATCCAATTCTTGCCATCGTAGAAAAAAAGTGTCAAAACTGCCCTGTGGGAAGGCTGGGGCAGTAAAAGGTAAATTAGTGGCCAAATCAGCAAAAAGAGCGGTACGTGCAGCAGTAATGTGGATCAAAAGAACAAACAATGTCAGAGTGTGGATGGTTTGGTAGATTAGATTAGATCACGGTATTTGGCATCCTCCTTAAATCGGAAAATACGTGTGCATGGCGCGTGCCGAGTAGAGAAAATAACGATAGAATTTTGTGAGCTGTTTGAGTCTCTATAATAATGAGGTTTACTATTGAAAGCCAGAGTGAATCGAGAGCATGGCGTATCCTATTAATTTTTGTGTCAAAACTGGTTGGGGCAGGGTAAACATCTACTTGTTTCAGATGTTGACCAAAGAGATCAATTCCTTGCAAACGGCACTGGAGTTCAAGAGTACCGAAATGAAAGAATTGCGCCAGAAATATCAACAGGTTTGCTTTTTTCCACCTATTTTTTTGGTAAGATAAAGCTCAGATTTTCATTGGGAAGAATTCTTAAGTGCAATTAAAGCCAAGTTCCAGAGCACTTTGCTTTTTGAAAAAGTATAGCATTGTAGCAAAAGCTTCTTGCAGGTAGCGTTACGAGTGGAGGAAATTCCTGTGAAGGAACTCGAGATCACGAAGTTGAAGCACAAGGTTATAGAATTGAAGCAGGCTCTCGACCAGAAGCTCACCTATGAGAAGTGCGTATATTTTTGGGCTGAATTTTTTTAAGAGACGAACTAGGAAACCAGAATTTCAGAGGTGGAGATAAGCTCTAAAGGCAGTTGGCACGATAATTTGGTACTCGGCCTAAAATGCTAGCAGGGCGCTATTAGTGGGAAAATGGCGAAAGAACGGAGTGAAACGGTCAAAATCCTGCGAAGAAAAAGCCTCCGTTCTCAGTGACTTGAAAATCGATTTCGGACGAGTTTCCCGTAGGCATCTTGCCAATCACCGCTACCGAAGATACGGCTGCATATATATCCATGCAGCATCACGGCCGCTTCATACCAATCCCTTCGCTTCATAATTTGCTTAGCAAATGAATCAATACGAGCGTCAGGAACGGTCGTCCATTTGTGGGCGGGCGGGCGTGGTGGGCGTTCGGGTCGGTATGTTGTAGCTTGATAGGGCCCTTATAAGGGTACCTTCCTTGGAAAGGGCGCTGCGCAGCGCCTGCTCAGGGGCGCGGAATTCCGTCCTGCCAGGCATATTAATCCTACTCGTCTTTAAGGATTTATCGTGCCAACTGCCTTTAATATGGTATTTGTGATGATAAAATGTGAATGTTTCGATGCTTCATGGATGTATATTTTCACGCAGCTGGGCGGGACGGAGCGCAGTGGGCGGGGCTACGCTACTACTGCAAGTGGTTACCTTGCTACTATTAGGCGGCTCAATCTTGTGACGCTGCATGTAGTGTAACGATCGCGGTTGGAACGATTCCTATTGTCTTAGGTGACAAGGGTTAGCGTTTCCATTCACAGTGTGGTGTCGGTAACATGAAAAGAGATCCGGTTTGTGATTTTTACAGCTGTCCGCCCGTCTGTCTTCTGTCTGACTGAGAACATCGTTGAGATCCGACCGACTTTGTTCACGGTATTGATCCTGCTTTAAAGCAATTGTCTATAGCAGCCACAATGGCCGACCATTCGGCCGCGATCTGATCTCACCTTGTATTCCGTCGATGAATATCTTCTATGCGAATAGCCGAATCAGTGTCAAAACCTTGTACGTCATTCCACGAGAAAAACCCCGACCCCGAAGGTGAAGGGTGGCGATTTGGGAGATTGTGGTCGGGTCATGGTCATACTGTGGAAAAACCGAGGGCGGTAAGGACTTGAGATTAAAGACACGTCGCACTGGAAAAGGTCTCACCCCACTCGGGATTTTGAATTATTAGCCCTCGTTCAGGGGTTGTCTTTCAAAACAATTCTTCATGTGATGAATGAGAAACAGTTGTGCTGTTCTTCCTAGCTGAAATCATCTGAAAAAGGAATGCCGTCTGCCGTTAAAGGAGAAATGGAAGTAGTTCACGTTGAGAAATGAAATAAGCGAATCAATAATCTCTGGGTTCAGCCACGCATTTGGCCTCAATTCGGAACCGTAGGAGTCTTCGAATGCGTTTTTCCTCCATACGATGGCTTACAAAGGATAGCTAATGTACTTGAAAGGATTTGCACCTACGTTTTTTCCGAGCGGTAGTGAAAAAAATATCATGAAAGAATGTTTATTGCGCACGTGGTTGCATTGTTCATTTTCGAGCCACTAATGGGTTTTCAAAATGATGGCCTTTCCGCAGCTGCACGCAGCTACTGTGTGGACAAAATACGCTTTCAAACGTTCATATGGTTCTTAACGAATGTCCGATGCATGGCGCACACCAGAAACAGATTAAACTGTGTTTTTACAAATGGAGTTAGAGTACTGCTGGACTCCAGCGCCCTTTGTAAAGTGGTTGAGTCAGGTTGTTTCCTCTTGAAGTTAAATAATCAACATAAAGGGCGAAAGCGAAAAGCGGTCAACCATGATTGGAAGGAAAGCCCACAAAAAGAGGAAAAATGCGTGACAGTTCACTAAGCAACGGTTCATAGGGAAACCTGCCCTGCAGCCCTTCTGAAGGCTGAACTCTCCCGTAGAGCGTTCAAAGTGACATTTGAATGCTTCTTTTGACCTCTTCATCTTGTTCCCAAGTTTGTTTGAGCTCTTAAAAATTGAAGATGTTTCGTTCATTTGTCACTTTGAAACCAACATAGCTATTTTATCGACTTAACTTATCGACCGTAACCGACATCGAGAGCAATCTTTCTAAGAAAGAGGAACTCATATTGTAGTTAACTTTTCGCGATTTCTTGTCGTTTCACGTGCGTTACATATTTACTATACTCCCCACTCGTTGGCAGTTGGCGCCGCCGCACAGGTGCTGTCATGGAATACTATTGTTTTTTATTGATTTTGCTAGTTAGCTTGAAAACGACCATCCTCCCCTGCACAGTCTTCTTTTGAATAATTGGAAAATTTTTCGGGAAATGGAGGGAACTGGTAGGGAGTTGGGAGATGGACTGTGGGTAAGATGAGAAGGGGGGTCGCACTGAAAGAGGCTTGAGGTGGCGAGAGGGGGAGAGTTATGCTGGCAGAACGGATTGCATTTATCCAGATGCTGTCCCCTTCATGAGACCTGAATGCGTAAAAATCCAGAATATACTCCAGAAAATCCACGTGTAAAACTCTCAAGTTCTCCTATATTTAGGTACTTACCGTAAGCACCCTCGTCAGGTCTAAAATGAGAGCTTGTACTTTGGTTAAATAATACATATGTATATTAACTTACGCGCACTGCCACTCAGCAAATGACTTATGCTCACGACATGAGCAGCCAACCCACTTGATTTCATGTATTTCCGAGTTAAAACCTTAGTCGAATTTTCTTCACCGAATTCTTTCATGCAGTAACATTTTGTTCTTTTAGGATGTTGGTGCATCAGAACGAGGAGTTGAAGCGTCAGCAGTTGGCCATTGAGGAGGAACGTGAGAGTTGGCAGAGGAATTTTGACGTGATGGTGTATCGCTACGAAACGGGAGATGAGGTCGATCCGGCAGCACCCGCTGGACAGAAACAGAAGCCGTGAGTTGAACTCAGCAGTTGAATTAATTAAACGGAGAGTAAATGAGTTAGAAAGGGCCTGAGGAGGCGACGGGTTACATTGTGTGGTTTACGGGGTTTAAAAATGCTTCCGAAATCCTGTAGTGTCTTGGGAATGCACTGAACGGCTTGGAGAAAGTTTGATAGCAGAACACACCACGGCGGTGGAGAAAATTGGTCATTTAGAGCGACTGTTTTCTGGCTGAGGCAGGATACATCGTCGGGATAGGCGAAGTGGTGGTGCCAAAATGACCGCCACCCCTCCCCCTCAAATTTCCTGTTCCAGTGCTATTCCCTTTTTCTCATATTACTACCATTTTTGCGAATTCTCCCAGTTCCTACGAGTTTCTCAAAAATTCTACCAGTTTCCCACAAAAATTGCTATCGTGTGTCGAATCCTCATGGAGTTCGAGCGGGTTTCCCCCTCCCTCCATCAACTAACTACGCCACCATGGCTTTTTCCAAAGACGCTGTATCCTGGCTCGAGGCTAAACGGAGGATCAAAAGTAGGGTCCCTTAAAATTGAATGCTGTCTATTTACAACCTCCGTTTTCAGCGGTAAAGTGCAGTTCCGGTCGAGGTCGAGTAATTCGGAACGGCCGCAGTCGAATGCGAGGTTATCGCAGGTGTCGTTCAGTAAGTTCTTTTAATTGAATTCTTTTTGACTATAGAAATGTAGGAAATCCCCGAGAGATCCATATTACGTGCGCACAAACTAGCTACTATTTCCTAGCTAATCCACTTAACATGCTGTAGTTCTCTTCTAAACCAATTTGGCCCTGCGACGCATAGCACGCATTTGGCAACACCTGCAAAGCCACGTGCTCCAACATATCCCCAATCGACATCCGCTGAACACCCGGCGCTCCAGTCGTTTACCACGCGTTGAGCTAGAGGCTCGGGAAGGAGCTTGGTGACCAACTGGAGCACCCTCAGGGTTCAGCCTTTCCAAAGTCATCTGATAGGTTTTTGAT